GTTGATTGCTGATGATGAAGATACAGTAGTAATGGTTGTGATAAGAGTTGATTGCTGATGATGAAGATACAGTAGTAATGGTTGTGATAAGAGGTCATTGCTGATGATGATGATAGTATTGGTTGGGATAAGAGTTAATATACTGTATTTATTGAAATTCATGATGATAGTAATAATGATAAGACTTGGTGTTGCTGATGCATTTCATGATGATGACAATTATTTCTGATAATGATGATAATGGTAGTGCTGTGGCTGGTGATGATGATGATGGTGGTGGTGGTGGTGGTGGTGGTGATGCTGTTGCTGATTGTGGTGGTGGTGGTTGTGATAATGATGATGATGATGGTGATGATGATGATGATAGTGGTGTTGGTGATCAATGGTGATGATGATGATGATGCTGCTGCTGCTGATGATGATGGTGGAGATGATGGTTGATGATGATGATGATGATGATGCTGCTGCTGCTGCTACTGCTGATGCTGATGGCAGTGGTAGTGGTTATGAGGATGATGATATAATGATACCTACTAATAGATATTGATCATACAGGTGAGGAGAGGGAGAGCTCCAGTGAAGATGAAGTGAGTTCAATCAGCAGTGAAGAGAGCCTTGAACCAGAGAGCCCACCTCCTGAGGACTCTAGTTGTAAGTCAAAACATCTTTGATCCATATTATTTAGCAAATTGACACCAGTTTTTAATGTCTGTCAGTGACTCAGTCACTACAGTTAGTCAGTCAGTCAGTCTGCCAGTGAGTCTGTCTGTCCATGATGAGCATTTTTTCATGCACCCATGCATTCATTGGGTCCGTCAGTCAGCCAGTCAGTCGTTTTGTCTGTCTGTCTGTTTGTATATCAGTCATTGGTTGACTGGTTACTCATTCAGCTGTCAATACTTACAAGGACGGTGTATTTTTTAATGTTTTGTCTAGTGTTTTATAATGAAGTACTTGAGACCATCCGCCATGGAGTAGCTGATAAAGTATCACCGGACAACATGGTCCTGGAGATCAACGCTTCTAAGTATGTACTACACTTAGGTGGCTTTCTTTACATCACCCAGTAACATTAGCCAATCAGAACATAATCATGTGTCAATCAATCTTGTCTTCACTGGCTGCAGGTTCGCGTACAATGTTACATTTCGTGATGTCAATCAATCGATGGTCAAAGCATTGCTAGAGACGTCCCTGCCTGATAATACAATGGACAAACGATCCCAAGCAAAATCACTGAAAAAGGCTAGTCTTACTTTTTTGTTGTCCTGGCTTTTAATTCAATTTACGTGCTTGCTTGCTTGCTTGCTTGCTTGCTTGCTTGCTTGCTTGCTTGCTTGCTTG